GATGTGTAACCTACTCTGCTTCTTTTTGTCTCTTATGCTTTCACACACTGGACTATATCCATACGCTCTCGCAGCACAAACACCGGTATGAAATACCTTCTGCTGGTGGCCTCTGCTGTGATTGGCTTACTTCTCTCGCAGACGGTTCTGACTTGACAATCACAGTGATGTGTAGCCTTTTGGTTTTGCTGGTAGTCAACCCGAAAATGTTGGTTGATGGTTGGCTGATGGTTTTTTGGCAGAGGCCATGTTGGGGGACCTCCAGCCAGCTCACCTCACCTGCCAGCTGCCCTGCTCAGCCTGGTCCTTCTGGAGTCTTTTTTTTTTTCCAGCTTTCATACTCAAAAAGACAGCTCCACTCTACTCTCCCCCCCGTCTCCATCTGGCCCTGCAGATCAGCTTCTATATACATCAGTGTCTCCAAGCGGGAGCACTGACTCACCTTCAGTTAATCTTTTATGACTGTACCGATGATGGGTGGTTGGTGGGTCCAAACCTGAGGTGTGGAATTTTAAGGTACATCCATTTATGTATTGCCCCGAAAAACTCTGTTCTCTAAAGTTCTAGAAAGTGTAGCAAAGAACAAAACTGTGTTCAGGATGAACAGGACTGTTTCGGGGGATAAGTTTTATTCCTCTTTGTAGGAGGCTCGAAGTACAGATACTACAGGGAGCAACTACCTCACAACTGGCTGTTTCCTCTACTATATATATCATCCCATTTTATTTGAGTGCCACCTCAGATTTTTGATATTTAACTCTGAATGAATGAGCTCTAATAATAAAGTTTGTTGTAAATTAAGGCAGTTAGGTCACCTGTCACAGGGTGAACATCATGTATGTAACTGTTCTGGGATTGAAATAAAAACAAAGCAGAGAGCTTGTTCAAGATCTCACACATGCACAGTTGACTTCGACTCATGCTAACTTCAGGAAATTATGGCCACTTGCAGCCTTCGGGGCAATATAGTCAGGTCTGGGGTTTTGTAATGGAAAAACATGTCACCAAGTGCAACGCTGTGTTTTTCTGATGTTTTTAATCATTTCTGAACAACAATGGAGGTCTGTCACAAAGGTGAAAATACTATTAATATAGAAAATGCTTGGCCTTATCCTTTAACTGTCTGCTATGTTTCATAGCTCAGTGTAGCTCAGTGGTCAGTGGACAGGAATCAGTGATTTGCAACACAGTGAAGTGGAGTAAGAGCCAAAATATAGTACCCTTCTTTCTTTTTATTGAATTGCATTGTGAGTTTGCCAAAGATTCCCACCTCTAGTGCAAACATAATGCACCTAATCTGTTAAAGCCCCATTCTGTCAGGTTTTATTTTGTCATTTTAAAGGGATTTTGGAATGGAGCCCCTCACATTTTAAACATGCAAAAGCTGTTGTCAGAATGAGCTCAAAAATGAATTTTTACTATGTAGGAAAACCTCCTGTGCAGTTGTGAACTTCACCTTGTAAAGTGATAAACCTCCAGAGGTTATTATATCAACAGGATTTTAGGTTTATAGCCGCAGTAGCAGCTGTGTTGGTCTGCTGTGTACTTAGGAACAGTACTGCAGAGGCTATTGGTAGCGCAAACTAAAGTGTTTGATAAATTAGAAGATGTTGAGCTGCTGGTAGCATCCACCAAACCAGTAAGATTTATCCTCGTGGGATCATGAATGTCTGCATAAGTTTCCATCCCAGTCCAGTAGGTGTTTGGATCAGTGTGGGAGACTGACCAATAGAGCCGGGATGCTAGCATGGCTAAAGATGGGTCACAGAATCAACGGCCTCCATTCTTTCACGTAGAAGTTTTGTTTTCTGTCACAGCAAGGCAGCCTAATTTATTAATCATTTGGTGTTTTACAAGCGCTTTGGCTTCTCACTGATAAGGTAAGAGACATACCTTCAGGAGAGTTATAGGAGGTGTTTTACCCAGATAAGACATACTATATGTGACTTGGTGAAAGATAAATAGAATTTGTGCTCTTTCTTTTTGTGACTTCTTTCTCCCCTTGCTGTCTCTCTGGGTTTTCCATCTTCCTCGGCCTTGACTCAGTAACCTTAGAGTGACAGATGTGTGATTAAATCTAGAGGTGTATATGTAGGCCAGCCTTAAAAGAATCAAGGTTATGTGGACAAGTATTGTGATCAGTAAAGATCACGACTCTCAAACAGGGCGTCCATGGGATCTATGAGTGCACCTGGCTATTCAACTTAAATTTTATTTGTATAGCGTGAAATCACAACAAAAGTCATCTCAGGACACTTTACAAAGTAAGGTCTAGACTGCTCTTGGTGGGCGGCCCTCTGCTTTGACTGGTTTGGGTGAATGGAGGAGGAGAGAGAAAAGAAAAGCAACAAGAACCAGTAAACAATCAAACACTGGACAGGTTGATGTGACCGATGGATGCTCATCAGAAGCTACCTGCAGAAAGGTACAGAGAGAGAGAGAGGACACACTACGGGAAAGAGGAGACACACAGTTAATGACATGTAATAGTGACATATAGATGCATGGAGAGAGAGGAGAGGAACTCAGAGCATCATGGGGCCCCCCAGCAGTCTAAGCCTATAGCAGCATAACTAAGGGAAGGCTCAGGGTCACCTGAGACAGCTCTAACTATAAGCTTTATCAAAAAGAAAAGTCTTAAGTCTAATCTTAAAGGTAGAGAGGGTGTCCGCCTCCCGAACTAAGACTGAGGCTATGGCTGAACAGAACCTGACTGTCTGGTCACAGTGTGATGCTGGCCAGCACTGTGACAGTGTCCCAGCATGTGCAAATATTCCAGCCCAACTTTTAGCCCTGCACAAGAATTCCTCTATGCCTAGACTGACCGTTAAGTGGCAAATAAAAATCTTGAATCTTGAATCTTGCGGCTCAAAAAGGGTGAGGCTGACACATTGAAACAGATGCACTCTAATCAAAACTAAGTCAGAAATGTGTGCTTGAAAATAAAGTGTTGTTCCTGTATTCCAAATTTTTTTAATGTGTACATTTGAGTTTAAACCTGTACACTCTATTTTGAACTTCTATATATCTACGTTGGTGCTTGCATGATTTTTTTTTTTTTGTTTGTTTGTTTTTCTTTGTTATTTTGTGCTTTGAGTTTCTGGCTTGCAAGCTTCCACCTTCTACATTTGTCCTGGCTTTTCAAGGGTTTATATAGACTTATACAGTACATTACATGTGGAAATGTTCTTACATAAGTGATGGGGGTAATTTTACCTGCTTTTGTAAAGCCAGTAGTAATCTAGGATCTTTTTCTTTGCTAGCTCGCTTGCTCACTATTGCAGCTGCTAACAAGGTGATTAGCCAGAACTTAACAATCCTGACATCTGTCTTGTAAGTCATTAGTTTTCTTTACAACCCTCTGTACAGAATAACACCATACAGAAAAGCTAATGTTAAGACCTAACAAAAATTAAGGCTGCTGTCTTTTAACAGAATTTACAGGTATAAACCCAGTGCACAAGTTTGAAAAACTTAGAACATAAGTCTGAATACAATCTGTATAACTGCAGCATTTCTGTTGTTGTTCAGCAAGTCACCTCTCTCCAGTCTAACTGGCCAATTCATTGTCTTGTCATTTGTGCAGGAAAGGCAGAGTCTCAGGACTTTTGACTTTTGAATTGTCATAATGTCCAGAATCATCTATATGCACTGGAGCCAAAAGACTGAATAAGGAAACGTCCAAGCCTTTCCTTGTTGTTCAGATTAAGTGTTGGCTCAGTCTTTATTAATCTCAGGAGCTGCTGATGACATTTTTAGAAGTTGATTGAAAGGGCACCAACACAACAAACACCTCTATATTTGCAAATTTATCATGCTGAGTTACCTTAAGGGATCATAAACATTGCTACTAAAGTTCGAAAATCCATTCCTGGCTGACAGTGTTGATATAAAGTGGTTGTAGCCTACAGTATGTCTCTCTTGCCACCTTCTCAAGCTCTTGTCAAATTTAGCTCTTCTCAGCATTTTCTATATTAAACATTAAAGTTCAGACATACTTCCCATTTACTTCTCAAAACATGTCAAACTCAGTTTCAGTCTAAGTTTACTTAGACTTCTAAATCGTTTGGGTTAAGTGTTTGCGAACATTTTGCATGTATTTAATTTTTTTTGCCCGAGTTGGATTTTGGGAGTCCCATAAAGAAACACTGAAGGCCTTGGATATCTTGACAGAGATATCAAGAAAAGGTGAATTTAGTCCTTCTTCATGCTCCGTGATGTTTTTTTTTGTTGTTGTTTTCCCAGATGATTACAGCATAGAGTTAATCCTCTCTCTTCTCTTGCCTCCTCTTTTCTAATTTTGACTTTGTGATTGATGAAGAGTTTGTAGAAGCACTGGGGAAATTTTCAGAGGACAAACAATTTCCCACATATTGTTGCAGTGTTGAGTGTGATGAGGGAGGTGAAGTAGCTATCAATAAGAGGTATTGATGACTACAGTGGAAGCTGGTGGAAATGTTCTGCTTCCCTATTGATCTCTGATCCATTATGAGCTGTTAGTAGACGGCTGGGTGAATGATGGGGAATGGCCCATCCATCATAAGTTGATGCCCACGCTGTTCGGCAGACAGACACGTCTAGCTGTTTTGTCTGTGATCTTCCTACTCCTCGCCCTCCTCTTCTTCTCCTTCTGTAATCCTACTTCCAGCACTCTTTTTCTCTGCTTATCATCCAATGCAAAATGTGCTTGACCCTCAGCACAGATGGAGCAGACATTTAGGCTTGAATCTCACAGCACCTGTCTGCACCCACTAGCTTTGAATTATTACAACTATAATAGAATTCTTTGCCAAAATTACTGGTAAGTGCAGCTTTCCACACTGCAAACTGTCCATTAAAAAAAGTCTTTCATATTTCTTTTCACTATGAATGTCATAAGCTGTTCCTGGAAATGCAAAAGACTGAATATTATTAGCTATAACAGTAAAGAGGTTTCATACCTAGTACACTAATTTAAACTTTCCTCTTCCTCTCCTCTGCTGTTCTGTTCTGTTGTGCAGGTCACTGATCGATCCATGCGAGCAGTTGCAGAGCATTGTCCCGAGCTGCAGTTTGTTGGCTTCATGGGATGCCCTGTGACCTCTCAGGGTGTCATCCATCTCACTGAGGTATGTATCACAGACGTTTTTGACATCATCATCAGTATCATAGCTCGCCCTAAATCCTCAGTTGTGATCTATTCTAAGAACTCCAGTCCTCTTTACTTGGGGTAAAAGTGAGGATACTGCACTTCTTGTAGCAAAGTTGAAAGAAGATTCATTTCAATCAGCAGTTTCCTCTTTTTGTTTTTTGAAGTAATTAGCTGTATTGGTAAATGTCAATAGAAGTTGTGGTGTGACTGTTTTTGTCTAATCCTGTTACTGTAGGCCAGCTCTCCCCGTTGCTGCAGGCAATGCACCGTCTCCAGGGGGGAACTCAGGGCCTTGCAGTCTGTTTTATCTCAGACTTAGTTTTGAAGTTATTTTGTGTTAACTTTTAAATCTCATGAAAGCCTAATGAGATGAATCCTAATAATACGCTGCTGTGCTGACTACACCCTGCTGTTTGGATATTACCATGGTAATGAGCAGGGCTTCGTGGTTAAAGATGTTCCATGTCATATAAACATGGACACACATGCACTCACATGTTGATCGTTTTCCTTCCCGTTTATTTCCTCTTCCCAGAATAACATCTCTCTAGAATGTGTGTGTGTGTGTGTGTCTGTGTGTGTGGAGACCTGTGTGCGAGTGTGTATCTGCACCCACGTGTGCTTGTTTAATACAATCGATTTGTCTTTGTGTACATGCGAGTGTGGACGTGCCCTCTTGGGCTTGCATGCGCCCATTCCTTCTCAAATGCAATTACAGTTGTGTTAATAGGACTGAGATACCCGATGCTGTGCCGCATTATTAGATTAAACAGCAGATTTGTGCTCCTGGTTTTGACCCCCTATCATCTCTGCAGCCTCCCCTGACCTTGGCCGTGTGTTGTAGACAGACAGTAATGAAGCTAGCCAGTCATAACAGCATTAGCATACCTGGAGGTGGACGCGTACACATCCTCCTGTGCACGCAGTCTTGCACACCTCATTATTATTTATTACAGTATTAACCAAGGTGAAGTTATAGCAGTTCAGATGAACAAGTTCATAATTCAGATAAAATATTTTTAAACATGCAGTTTTGTCTCAGCAGAAGTGTTTTCCATCCTTATTAAGGTTATAAGCTTTAATGAAAGCACCAGCAGAGATATGGACAGGACCACTTGCTGCATATTAGTTGTTAGCAGTTGTTCTGGAGCTTTTGAATGTGTTGCATGATCTTTCTTAGCAGATAACTTTTGCCCAGTTATCATGGAATTATAGCCTAGATGTTCAACCCTCTATTTTTCTAAGCACTTTTAAGGACTTCTTCATGATATTGTCTTAAAATGAGACTGCTGTTAATATTCTTGACCTCGGAAACAGCAGTTGACAGCTCCATTTACAGAGGAAGATCATGTAATGCTCCAGAAAGCTCCAGAACAGCTACTCAGTGGACTTTGTGCTGAGATGTTTTCCTCAAATCCTGTTGACAAAAACCTCTGAAACAGTGTTTCACTGCTCTTATTGCCTGAACATTTCATGTCTGCTTTACCTCCAGAAACACTCAGAACAACTGAGGTATGATGTGCGTATGTTCAAAAGTGTGTACGTTAATAATAGTCTTACTTGCTGTGCAAACCGATTTGCATGATTGTTTATTGCATTGTTCACTTCTGAAGTACAGTGATAATTTTAAATCGGGTTCAGTCAACCCCTTAAAAGTCTTTATTGGGTGTAGTGGATGTTTCTAGCGTAGGCTGGTGAGACAGAAATCTTTCAGAGATAACATTATGAGCACATTCTGTACAGATTTAAATGTCAAATAATCACACTTTTTCTTCGGCTGTATGAGATTAATTTCTTTGTCCTCCCTCTCTCGTGCTCTTGTTTCTCTGCCTCTTCCTCTCTTTATAATATGTGACAGTAATTATCTTGTTTAACAGTTGATTCCTTTTCTCGTTTATTCTCTCTTGGTTCCATTCAGCGTCAGTTGAAAAGCACAATCTCGCATTTAGAATCGTTGCATTTATGATGACTCTGTGGACCTGCATGCGATTCCAGGACTGCAGCCTTCCTCTGTTGTTCAATAATCACACACTCCTTTCCACTTCTTTTCTTCTTGAATTACTCTCTCTCTCTGAAAATCTTCCTAAACTCCTCCATTACTTTTATTAACTTCTCTCTTCTGACATGCTCATTTCAGATTGAGACTTTTTTTTATACCAACTTCTCGCAAATTAGGGTGTAAGGAAATTATTTGAAAACTATTTTAATCATATATATATATATATATATATTTAATATGATGTGTGTGTTATTGTGTTTAGCTTTGCATTAATCATGCACACCTGTGACAAGGTGGAAGCAGAGTAGATTTTAGCGTGTGTGTACGTGGTTGTTTGTGTGTGCAGGTGTTGGGTGTTATTTCAAGGGTGGAAGGCTTCACTCATTCAGCTTGTGTGCTCTTATGTGTGTGTGCCTTTGAGGAAATGGATCTGTGTGTATTTTAGAGGTGAGTAACATACTGTATGATGTTTTTCTGTGCTCTCGCTCTGCTTCTCAGGCAGCCTGGGTCACACTTTGCTGTCGGCTGGTTTTGAAAAAATGTGCAGCACCGACAGAGTCATTGTCCAAGTCTGAACGGTGTTGTTACCTGTTTGCTGTCTCTTTCTCTGTCTAGTCTCTTTCTGCTTTTAATCATTGTCGCCCTCTGTATGTACCTGCTTTTTGTCTTCTACTTTTGTGTTTTGTGTGTTTTTGGTTCTCTCTCTCTCTCTCTTTCTCACACACACACACACACACACACACACACACACACACACTCCCTCTCTGTCTCTCCATCTTCCTGTCAAGCAGTGCTCTTTATTTCTGGTAGCGATTAAGTCGAAATTCGGCTCCATCAGAGAGCCAGTGTTTGAGAGCAGCTCTGGGTGCCAGGGAGCCTGCGTTCCCCCAGTCTTAGATGTCCCACTGATGGTTTCCCTTTGCTTGTCATGCCTACCCACAATGCCTCTCCTTATACATCAGCCTTTCACTGCTCTAAGACTCCGTGGGCCTCACAATGCCTTTTTTGTTTGTGTGTGAAAGTTCCCACCCTCGACAGAAAGAGAAGAGGCCAAAGACATAACAAATGGAGAGATTGTTGAAGAATGTGTCAGACATGAAAAGAGGTATATTTGCAGGCTGTAATAGCTATGTGTTGTCGCTCTGATGTGCAGAACTCGGACGCTTCTGGTCTTAATTTGGGGCCTTGTAGATTAATTCAGCTGTGTTGCTCCAGTGGTTTTGTTTTTCTTCTGTCCGTCCTGGCGGCTTAGTGGAGCAGTATGTACACTTACTATCCTCAGTTCAAATCTGGCTCACAACCTATGAAAGAAAGAGGAATAAGAAAGTCATATTATTAATTCATTTCCTCATTTGTTTTCCAAACTACCATGAGCACAGTTTGGAAGAGAGGCTGAAATACAAAAGGTTAAGGTACAAGTCTTCACCCACTGTTACGTTCACACTTGCCACTCCACCACCAATTCCTCCCCACAAAGGTGTGCAGCTTTGCTGTAGTCTGCTGGCCCCTTATCTCCTCCCCCTGACTGGAGCACAGAAAATAATAAAATAATCACAATGCCCTGTGTCAAACTGATAACCCCCAACACAAACCAGAGAAGTTATTGCGTGTGTGTATATATGTGTTCACATCTAGGCTGTGTACCTTTTCCTATGTAGAAATGTGTATGTAACTGTGTACTTGTACATGTGTATTGTGTCTCAGGGATGGAAGAGAGGATAAAGGGGAAATGAAGGAGCAGAGGGGATTTGGAGGAAGAAAGGTAATGGGGTTGTGGGGGTCACAGAATGAGTTGAAATTGTAATAATTTTATTCAGCGCTGTATGGAGGAGATTGGGGGATTTATGAATATAATGAGCCTGAGAGAAGCCCGAGGATGATGTGTGTCTCTTGCGAGAGTAATTGAAGAATAATTCATTTGGCTCTAAGACTTTTAACCCAGAGACAGACAGAGATAGAGAGGTTTTTGACCTCTGGAGGCAGGGATATCATGTCTCATTATTGGCCCAACTAGTGTCACTCTGCTCCACTGTCATCCAGTACTGTCACGTCGGCTTCTGCGTGCATACAGATGTCTGTGCGTGTGTGTGTGTGCGGGTACATATTTGGTCATTTGGCTTAGAGTGCAGAAGACAAACCAGTGCTCTCTATCTTTTCGAGCCATTCCCTGCCACTGAGTTTGTTATCAACACAAACACACGCAGGATTAGAGACTGAAAAGGAGAGAGAAGGAGAAAAAAGGGGGTAAGAGAGGGAAAATAAGTGATAGACAGTAGATGGGCACAAGACAGATAAAAAGAGAAGTTACCACACATGCACACACAATTACACACACACACAAGGGTCAGTTCACTGGTCCATGACACCAGACCCACGTCCTCTCCAGTATTTATAGGTGTGTGTGTGTGTTTTTCTGCGTCTGGAACGGGGTGCGTGTGATTTAGGCTTAGTGCAGAGGGATTGTCTTAACGCAGCTTTCTCGTGTCTGACTGAGCGGTCTGGGATGCTTTGATATGGGGAAAAACACAGAGCGCATATGCATGAGTGTGCACTTGTGACACTGCTGCCATTCGTCTCCCCTTTTTTGCCCCTGCCTCATCCTGTCTCACACAGGAAGAGTACTAAAATTAGAAGAGTTCAAAAGTAACAGTAAATGTTTCTTGAGCAGTTGTGTATTGTTTCAATGTGCATGCACAACAGAGCTCACGCATGCCTCAGAGTTTGGGGAGTTGATGGTTACCATTTAAAGCTGTCTGTCAACATGAGGAGTAAAGATGTCATCCTGCAAGTAAAGAAGTAATGAAGATAAAATAAATCAGAGAGCAAAAAGGTTGTTGGTTTGCTAAAATCAGCAGTTGGGTACATCCTAAAAAAAGCAGGTGTGCCCAAGAAAGTCTTGTGGATGAGCAGAAAATCATTTTCATGGTGAAGAAAAGGCCTGTTTTGACTGCACAGAAAGTCAGGAACGCTTGATGTAGCATGTTTCCGTGTGGTAAGCACAACAGAAACAAACAAACAAAAAATACACCTTGTAACATACAAGGAACAAAATTCAGCGTCTAACAAAATGATGGGAAAAAGAAAGTGTGGAGGAAAAAAGAGGGACAGCTCATAACCACTTCATCGGTCAAACGTGTTGGCGGTGCTGTGTGTACAGTATGGCTGCCAGTGGAACTGGCACACTGGCATTTATTGATGATTTCACTGCTGACAGAAGCAACGGGATGATTGCAGAGGAGACAGTACAGCAACATTCTGTGTGCTCAGATTGAGCCAAATACATCAAAACTAGACAAAAAACAAGAAGGTGACTGCACTGAAGCACTGGAATAGCATCATCAGGGAAGACACAGTGTCTGCTGATGTCTGTGGGTCAGAGATTCCAGGCAGTCACTCACTGCAAAGGATTTGTTTTGCAAAATATTAAATATGATAATTGTGTTTGACTTCATGTGTATAACATTGGCCACTATCTGATAATGGGGATAAAGTGTATATCCCACCCGGTTCTTTTAATATTTACTCAAATTAAAGCTGAGACTTGGCATTTTAATGTAGTAGCCATTATGTGTCAAACTGAATGTGCTGAAGCACAGAGAAACAAATGTGTAACTGTTTAAATATTTACAGTCTGGACTGTAGATGCATTTCACACAATAGGACCTATATTTCATTGACTAAACTCACATAATAAATCTTGAAGTGGTTATAAATCAATAACTGCAGCGAAACAGCAGCTCATATTTTCCAAATCCAACATATTCACTATTTATGACTAGAACAATGGTTCGCTCTGTCCGTGCCTTTTAAAAGTCATCTAGCTGCTCATCAGTCGGGACACTGAAGTTGATAGACAGCTGCAGCCATGAGCTCATGGTGCTTTGTGCCACTGTCCAAACCATGACATCATATCCTCTGCATGGGGTCCGTCAGCACTCAACTTCCTGCTTGGCATCATGATTCTTGACATTGTGTAAATAAATGTAATAATAACACAAGCAGTTATAGCTGTGTAGTCTGGCAGAGCGCACACAGGAACACACACATGCCCGCTGTGCACCAGACTGTGACATACACTAATGTAATAAAGTGTCAAATCAACCTCTCCAAATATTGAACTCCTGCCTATGCTTGGCTGAAGGATAACGCACCTTTGAAGCAGCCAGTTATTTTTCTTACATTTAAAGTGGCGTTTTGCTTGTGACCTCTGACACAGACTTTCATTTTTCCTGTTCGAGAGAGGCGTCTAATTGAAGCAGGTGGGAGCCAAGCTGCCAAACATCTGGTCATATGGACTGAATAATACAAAAAATGTGGTGCTACTCCCAGTTTTCATTTGAGAACTGATTGCTTTTCTCTTACCTGTGCCGTAATGTTACATTTACATTTTACATATTTGAATTGATTTGGTCTGTAAACATTTCCATCCAGTTGTGTGATTCTCTTACTTGATTTGAATCTTGTCTTGTTCTGCTGTGTGGCTCTGTCCAGGCACATATTTAATTTAAAGTAAGGGAACTTTAACTAACATTAAAGTTGATTTTAAGACCTTTTAACATTTTAGGGTAGGTTAAATAATTTAGTGATAATAAAAGCAGTAAAACTAAATGACTTATTTTATAATATTTTCACTACCTAAAGTTGCTGATTTATAGAAGTAAAACTTCTGCTCATTTACTGGAGTGAAATTATCAATACCACCCTATTCTGTAAAGCTACTGCATTACAATTAAAAATCCAGAGTAAAAATAGAGATAATTTATTTTAATGCTTTATATACTGTTGCTAGTTTACTCCATAACAGTTATATTTCATAAAATGATCACACTGTATGTTGTTTATGTAAAATTTTAATCTGAAAAAAAAAAAAAATCTTTAGCTGTTAAAATATAGTACTGGGAAAAATAGTGTCTGATGGAGTGGATTAGAAGTATAAAATACCATAAAATAGGAACTCGGCTAGTTTTGTGGAACTTTCAGTATTCTTATAATCAGTGTGCACATTAATTTCTTTGCCATGCGTGTGTTCACGGAGCAGGAGCGGCCCCAGAGCAGCTGGATATAGCAGCTTTCACCGTTTTTAGGAACAGCAATTATCCAGGTGTAGCTGCCACCTCAGAGGAGTCGAGGCAAACTCTGCCTGGTTACAGACCTCAGCCAACGAGGAGAAAAACCCACCGAACCCCTCGCCAAATCCCCTGCTTGGAAATCTGTTGCTGTATTTCTCTCTCACTTGCTCTCCTCACCGTTTCCCTCTCTGTTTTTCCCTCTCCCTGTGCTGTGTGAATCATTTACTTTGTCTTCCTCTCTGTTTAAATCTGTTAAATCTATTTTTGCCCGAATAGAAAGTCAGCTATATTATGAGTTGGGGGTGGGGAAAAAAAAAGATTAGCTGCATTAAACTCTTTCACCTGTGAGTCAAATTCTGATAATTTGTCAACGATGAGAAAACAAACACTGGCGCTGTGGCCTGTCACATTACGGAGGTGTCAGTAATTACTCAGAGGTTGTTTTTTGTGACTTTTCATTTCAGGGATTTGGATTTGGAGGATATTTTTCTTTTGGCAAATGTCTGCAAAACTGTTAAATGTATTTTACTGCGGTGGTTTTCACAGATGCATCAACAAAGTTCCAGTCTCAGACTTAACTCTGCCTCTTGCAGACATCTGCTTAAAATTTTCAGATTTTCTTCAACCTAGCTACACTTCCAGCCAATCAAAACTCACACGGTTGGCCTGGTTTCTGATTGGTTATCCACATCAATGAAATGGTTTCTATTGGTTGTAGTAGAAATTCTACTCACCATACGTAGGCAGTTTGAATATTTGGAGAACAAATACTACGTTCCCTGTCCTGGCTTTTCATTTTACTCCAGGTTTGATAACCATACATACTGAATACCAATGTGTGTGTGTGTATGAGTGTGAGTGTGAGTGTGTGTGTGAGTGTGTGAGTGTGAGTGTGCGGATGCTTGTGCTTGATAGTAATTTTTTACAACGGCGTAAGTGCATGACTATTGCTATGAATATTAGTGGTAGTGGTCACTTCATCTCCATCCTGGGTTTATTTTTATATTACCTTTGTTTTGCAAACAATACCATCAACATGCACACAGATGTGCACACACAGTTCAGCCTCATTCTGCATGAATAATTCAGCACTTCGATCCAACACTGGCCACGGGGGCACATGACGTGTTTGTTTTGTGGGTGTTTTTGTAGATTTCTGTCTTTTAGTGCACGTGGGTGAGCATCTGCTCATACACACACGTCTTTGTTAATACACACATTTAGGGCTTTTCCCCATAATTAAATACCCTTGTTTATCATGTCAAGTTCAGCTGTCCCCTGATGATCGCTGCCAAACCGTCTTTGCACACCCAGGCTGTTTAATGTTTATTTCATCAGTGTATCTGAACGTGTCTTCACACTATAGGTGAGGATATCTCACAAACAAAATCTGTTTCATGTTTATTTCATGACTAAGCAGAGCTGTCTTATCACAAGAGGTGTGGATCCAGAGTGACAAAAATGCCACAGGCTACATAAGAATAGGGAAACAAATGGAGCAGCTAGAAAGAGGTAAAGGAGCTTTTTTATTACCTTCACTGCAGTGCAGCATCACACAGCTACTGTGTTTGTTTGCAGCCGCTATGTGCTCTCTTTGTGTTTTGATTCACATATGTGGGGACAGAGAAAAGTGTTTACATGTGTGCTTACTTCACGCCGTGAGCTGCGGCCCTCATCTGTTCCTCCCATGTGTCCTCATGCTGGTATGTATATGTCATGCCTATGGAGCTGACAATAGTCCTCAGTGATCTTAACACCAACTGTAAGCTTGTTTTCTCTTTAGCCTTGGCCATGACATTTACTTTCCTGGCTCCCTGGTGGCTGGCTGGAATATCATACCTCTATTATCTTGCATCCCTGGTGTGGGTATGTGTGTGTGTGTGTGTGTGTATGTGTGCGTCTGTGCCTTAAATAGTTCTGAGTATGTATCAGAGAAAATACACCTGTGCTGTGATTTGAAAAGCCTCTGGTAATTTCAACGGGCAGGA